AAGAGCTAGAATTCAAAAGGTCAAAGGCTAAGAATGGTGAGGATATTCAGCCAGCGGGGACCAATCTATGTGCATACTATGTCTGTGAGATGATCCGGAGATACACCTCTGAGCGGCGGGTTCCGAGTGATACCAATGCTCAGAGGAATAACCTCCGGATGATGCTTAGTCCAGAAGCTCGCTTCCGACCACTTCAAGAGGAACTAGCTGGATGGTTCAGAAGGGAAGTCCTCCATCCTAAAGGAGAACACCATTACGAGGACGTAGAACTTTATATGCATTAAATTATGTATGGAAACTTGTTCAAAATTGTATATGGTCATCCGATGATATTGAATATATATTGTATATTCCTCTTGAATTCTTTTTTGTTCTAATTTCAAATTTGTTTGAAATTGTACATTCATATGCATGTATGTAGTACCGTAGAATATGTGAAACTCCTTCAAAATTAAAATAAAGCACAAAAGAAATAAAACAATACAAATTAAACAGAAAACAGGTTTAGGGGGGGGGGCTAAAACCCTAAACCTGCGGCGGCCTTTAGTCGCGGTTGGCCAGAAGAACCGCGACTAAAGGTCCTCCGCCCTGACGGCCGCCTGGCGCCCACGTGGATGGGCCTTTAGTCGCGGTTCTTAAGCAACCGCGACTAAAGGGGGGCCTTTAGTCGCGCCTGTTTGGTCGCGGTTGCGCAACCGCGACTAATGGCAGTTGCGAACCGCGACCAAAGGCCCTTTTTCCACCAGTGGCCGCAGCATCGTGCGTGCGGTGCGCGCGCCGGCAGCTGATCAGCGCCGGGGTGGTTGCTAGGAGCTGCTAGGGTTGCATGAGATCTTATTCTCCTGTGCGAAACTGCGAATGCTGCGCTACGGTTCGGACAGCTCCGCTGGTTTTGGGCCTTTGAGCGGAAGCCGACGTGCATGGATTATCATGGGCTCAGTACGGGTTGATGAGCCCAAAACTGAGACATGACCAGGCCGAACGTGGCATAGCCCAATGCAACAAACAGTGACGGTTGCCTTAAAAAAAACCAGTGACGGACGCTTTGACGCAGTGTGTAGGCTAGTCAAGCGGATGGTAAATAAGAGTAATGCTAGACGTACGGGCGTTCTACGGAGGATTTACAGGCTCGCTGAGTGTGATTGGTTGGACTTTGATTAAGGGAGACGGCCCCATCCTAAAAATATCAGAGGGAGAGCAATTAGATTAGGCCACGTTACCATCCTGTAAAAGTCCGTTAGAATTGCCCCGAAATCTCAAAAGTGCACGCGCACTTTTTTGCGAGACCGAGCGGCCGGCTGTCAACCACACGATTTCAATCACACGCGTGCATCCCCATTTCAGATGTCATCTGGTCGGGAGCCCACATCGTCATCCCATTCCAGCCAGCCGGCCTGCCCACCATCCACCCCGTTGTCTCTCACTGTCTCGCATCTCCCCAAATTCATCTGGATCCAGTCGCCGTCGGCTCCTCCGAGCGCGGCCCTCTCCGGATCCGCATGACCGCATCCACAAGCCGGCCTCCTCCACTGGCTCGACCCCGAGATCCCCCACCCGGAACCTTCCCGGCGACGGTGCGGTCCAGGCCGCCGTGGAGCCATGGATCTAGGCCATGGCCCTCCCTGCTCGTACCTCCATCCCCTCTACCACGGTGAAGACGAGGCCCTAGCACTCGCCTCCCCCACGAGCTCCAGGCATGAGGTCCAAGACCCGCCTCATCCAGATCGGGCCGCGGTGTCGCGCCACCACCACGTGAACCCGGCTGCCTCCTCCGCCATTCACGACGTCCACACGGACGGCCGTGCACCACCAACACCACCACCTCTCCCCCGTCACTCGGCTACATGGAGGACGTGTAGGTGCTCCCTGCGGCCTCTCCTCTCTCTCTCTCTCTCCATAGTTGCAATGGATGCCTGCAAAAAAAATTTAAGAACAAGTACGAGCTAGCTAAGGGATCAACAGAATCCAGCACCAGATCACCTGATGCAGTAATTCAGGAACATCATTTGCTTTTTTGTTTCTGGTATTTGATCTGATGCATTTATACCTTTTTGGATTTTATATTTTTAGTTTCGTAACAAAAAAATCAAAAACAAAACTGCGGCAGCATCCTAGTGGGCCGACCCTTGCTAGCAGCGCTACACGCACCGTATCATTGACGGGTGCCTGCAGCGCTGCATAGGAGCTCCCCCTACACGCTTAGAGCCCCCTTTTGCGGAAGAACATGCGAGATAATTTACGTATGTTTCAAAAATGTTGCTGCAGCTTCGACACATAATTATAATTTCCCAAATTCTTCCCGGTGCACGCGCACCATCTGGGCGAAACGGGCGGCCGGTCTTGTATGCATCTGTGTGTTAATTTTTTTTGTCTTCTAGTGCATGTGACTGTTAGTATTAAATGCGAATATACTGATTACCACATTCCGAAAATCACACACATTTATTTTGGAGTTCTAAATTTTAAAAAGTTATATCTTTCGAACCGCTCGTCGGAATTCAGATCCGTTTTCACTGCTGGAACTCTTGCGACGAGATCTTTGAAACTAGATCCCGCATGGGTATATTTCGACGAAATTTTTTCGATGCCAACTTTTGTGCTATATTGTGCAATTTTAGTATTGTATTGTGCTATTTTAGTACTACATCGTGCAACTTTTTTCAAAATATTTTTTTGTATCTGTATGATCCAACTTCCTATGAGATTGCAATCTAGCAACCACGACAACTTTGTTGTGCAACTAGTCTACTGTCCCGACCAACTACCTAGTAGTCGATGTGCAACCCTCGCTCGTTGGCTTGTAATGTAGTCTAGTTGCACACACATATGCTCAGTTGGCTTGTAATGTAGTCTAGTTGCACACACATTAATGTTTAGTTGACAGGACTATTGGCACACACATATGCTCAGTTGGCTTGTAATGTAGTCTAGTTTCATAAATATTGATGGCAGGACACTGGTTGCACACACATATACTCAGTTGGCGCGACAATGTAGTCTAGTTGCACACACATTGATGTTTAGTTGGCAGAATGACTGTTGGCACACACATATGCTTAGTTGGCGCGGCATGTAGTCTAGTTGCACACATATTGTTATTTAGTTGGCAGGAAGACTAGTTCGTCGAAACATCCTCATATAGGATCTACTTTTGAAGAGCACGTCGCGAAGGTTCCAACGGTGAAAACGGATCTTAATTCCGAAGCGCGATCTAAAAGTTATGACTTTTTAAAAATTTGAAAACCCAAAATAAATGCGTTCATATCTATTCTTTATAGTACTTTTTTAGTACGTGATACTTTTTTTAATTAGAATTATTTTATCAATTGAAAGGGACAAATTACCTTTTATAGATCAGGGACCAAAATTGCCTGTTTTAGACCGGCCGCTCGGGACGACTAGCGAGGAGCCGGCCGCTCGGCAGATCGGTCCAAAGAAAAAACAAACAACAGCCCGCCTCCCACTCGCATGGCCGCGGATGCGGGCCGTCGCGCCCGACAACTCGATGCGAGCTAGCGCGCGAGCGAGACAATCAAGTTGCACGAATATTAAAGACAAACAAGATCCAACGGTTTTAGAGTTAGATGTGAGATAACTATTTCACATCTAGATGTGAAATAGCAAATCTGAAACTTAAATTACCCAAGGCCAGGCAGATCAGCGTACACAGAAAAATCAACACCCTACTATGTGTCATCCAATTTTGCTTCCATGGTCTGCCATCCAATACAAGGCCCGAGATGCAATGTTCTGCCAGCAATCCACGCGCACATCCTGACTAGCGATCGATCGGGATCACAATCTCCCTAGCCAAACACCGGCAGCCCCCGCACTTACATACTCCGCCCACGACACCGGCCCACCGGCAGCGGTGACGCTAGCGATTATACCGAGACGTCGCGGGAGACGGAGCTCCAGGCCATCAAGGACACCTACGTCGCGCGGCGTGCCCAAGCCGCCTCCACGACGGAGCCAACAGCGTCGTCCCGATTCGGACTCGAGGAACATGGTGCGCCTAGCCGTTGTGGATAATCTCGCCTCCCACTTGCCAAGGTATAGCAGCCCTCTTCCTTTTCTCTTTCCCAAGAACACATGATGTACTTGTGTGTCGCTCGCCTGGGGCCAAGCTATTTGGTGAATCCCTTATGCAAACAATTTTATCCAGTGCTAACTAGGAGCTATTGTCTGCATGTGCATCTTAATACAAGTAGTTGTACGGGGTTCATAAAGGAAACAAGCTTCTCGTCTTTGATGTCAAATCGGACGTTCCCCTTCCGACAGACCTTCTTCAAGTCTCTCGCCACTCAGTCTCACCGGTTCGTATCCGATTCCAACCTAAATAATCCCCTTCCCCTCCATATCTCTCCGTCTCTCCCGGCAGAAAAAATCGAGTCTTCCTCCCGCCGAGCCGCCGTAACCCTAGCTTCGCCGATTCGTCGCGGGCGCCGTCCAGTGGATTCGCTTGGTAAGAAACCCCCTACCTCGCTCGGATCTGTTCGATGCCTTAATTCATCTTCTTGTCACACGGATCTCCTTCTGCTCTCTCTCTCTCTCTCTCGTCTTCCCTTTCTTGTAATGATGAAATCAGCTAGATCTTCAGATGTATTGTACATACTGCCGTGGGGATCTTCAGATGTATAACTTCTGGTGTTACTGCTTTCAGATAGTGTCACCAAGAGCAGTTATTTTATCTTTCGAGGTAAAAATCATAATTGGGTCGATCTTGCCTCTTCGCTTCAAAAGAAACGCAGATCTGTTATGTCCAAGATGCAGGCGAGTCCTGCAATTTGCTTTGGTGCCTATTGCCCTCTCAGATCTGTTATGTCTCAGTTTATTATTTAAACAAAATTTGGGATTAAATTATGATTACCTTTCCAAATAAACATATGCATCGAGGTTCAGTATACTAACACTCAAATTGTTCCTATGTGTGTGTTTCACTGCAGAACATCTTGCTGAATTAGTAATATCGATTGGACGCAACAGAAGTTGGTGGTGAAATGATGGGTGGCAGCAAGAGAAAGAGTGCCATCCCATCCTGTGGCGAGGCTGGGAAGATTACGGCAGAGGCGTTCCCAAGCAGCAAGAGGAAGAAGGCCCTTCTACTAGCTCTTTGTGCACGCTTGCTTCCTGATGACATGATGTTGGAGGTGCTATTTCGTCTCCCTGTCAAATCCGTTCTCCGCTTCCGGGCCGTTTGTCGCTCTTGGGCTGCACTCCTCTCCTCCAAGGATTTCTGCAGCCTCCACATGGCAACCTGTAAGGTGCTGCCACCAGCACCAAAGCTACTGGTGGTCTCACCCACAGAAAAATTGGACTCCACCACAGTATGCTCATACTCACCGTCAGGCCCGAGAGATGATTTACTCTTCACCATTGACTCTGCACGTCCCAACTCTGTGGAAGTACTGACGCCCTCACCATGCTGTGGCCTCACCCTTCTATATGACGCCGCCGCGCTAGCTTACTATGTTTGCAATGCAGCCACACGGGCAGTCGCACGTCTGCCACCTTACTGTGATCGTGCACGTGATTTTACCGCTGGGTTGGGATTTGATGCCCCGACAAGGGAGTACAAGGTAGTGAGGTTGATCAATGGGCTTGCCCACGAGGACATCCTCAGGTGTGAAGTGTACACACCAGGGGCTGATTGCTGGAGGCCTGCAGCTGGAGGAGTACCCTTCAGGTGGTCCAAGTCTGCACATTCTGCAGTTGGTCATGCTATGATGAGCAAAATACAACCTGTGTTTGCCAACGGATTCCTGCACTGGTTGATCAGTCCTTCTCTTCTCATCAGAAGGCCAAGAGCTGCCATCATATTGTTTTCTGTCGCAGAGGAGACCTTCGGATCCATCCGTTCACCACCGTTCTGGGGATCAAGAGAGCACGTACGCCCCTGGTCCCAGTCAGAAGGAGAGCATCTGGTCGTGATGGATGACCAGGTGTGTATTGTCCGGAACCTTCGCAACGGAACCCCTCATGGTAGTGCCCTGGAGATTTGGGGGCTGCTGGATTACGGCTCTGGTGATTGGACGCTAAATCATCGAATCGATTTGTCCGGGCACATCAGAAGAGAATTAGGCGAGCCACAGGCTGTGAGAGTTATTGGTTCTCTTGGCAATTGCAGGTCGGGGAAGAAGATTGTCATTGCTACTAGCAAGCACTGGGTTTATGAAAAGTTTCATAAAAAGGTTTACACCTATGATCCTAGCTGTCAGGTTCTAGAGGGCATTCTTTCGGTCACTGAGACACACACCTCTGTTCCATGCTTCATTCCTGGTTCAAGATTCAGTTTATTTGAAGAGAGCCTTGCTCCAGTGCATAAAAGGGATGAAGAGGTTGCCCAGTCATCTACCCTGGCTAAGGCAACTAAACAAACTACTAGTCCAAGCTAAAAGGTTAAAAGGCGAAAGGTCAGTATTGTGTAAATCAAGATCGGCATCTCCATGGCATGTATTCTCAGGATATCAGTTAGCTGGTTTCGAACGTGTACGGCAGAAATCAAGAGCTGATAATGCATATAGTACATGTAGAATGGCTCCAGCTACATGAAGAATCGGGTGTAGGCTTGTTTTGCTTTGTTCTAAAATTTGAGTAAGAGAATAAAGAGATAGAAATATATTGGGTGGTTCAGTTTGGCCCGAGCAAAACTTCTTTGTACTACATAGTTCCTTCTTGAAGTTCTTTCCAAATACATTCGTCACACGGTGCCACTAGTTCTGATTTGGTTGCATACTGTCTATATAATCTTACATCTGAACTTTTTGCCCTGCAAGAATCACCATTAGCAACTGCATTGTACTCCTTGAGAACCAGAGATATATCAATGGTTATGCACTGTGCTGCAACCGCTGGCCGCACTCCTGCCAACATAGAATAATACTCCTCATTGCCAACATAGAAATCTTTTAGAAGTTACAAAGGGAGTATATATGTCGAGAATGACATGGTTGGGCTAAATAGCAGTATTAATACAGTAAGATGAGATAAAGTGTATGGGTGATCTTTTCCTGTTTTGTTTGTTAGTACTGTATACATCTTTAAAATGGGCACTCTCAACTGAACCAAAGTATATGGTGCAAATTAACGAGCTGCACTTATCTTTGTATGATGTTTAGGTACTGAAAGCTGCAACATAGATCATCAAAGGTCCTTGGACACGTCGAGTGCAAAACAATAATAAAAATACAGTAGTATTTATGTTGGCAAAATATTATCAAGATTATTATTACTCGAAGGGGAATATATTGACGGACACTGTGACCGTGGCACTATTACTGCCGGTGCCAGCTCTGATTTTTTGTTGATGAGCGCACACATACACCGCCGCCACCCAATTCTGCTGGAACAATTGGCCAGAAAAAGTGGTATTTCACATGATCATCACATTTCTCTTCTTGTGGCTGTTATCATAGCAATTTTTTGCAGTATTAAATGATCCCTAGTGAATCCGGATAATATTCAAAATCCACCAATTTCTTAGCTCAAATGGAATAATAATTTCCCAAATGCACACTAATATTCACAATCTTCAATATTGCGTGAGATCTCTAGTCTGGCAGTGCGGTCTACAGGTGCCAGACAAATAATTTAACGACCTTTTTATGCATGAACACAATGCACACTGATGTCTTGTGTATCACAAATGAATTTAGAAACAATATAACAGATTTGGGGACACAAAATGTCGAAGTCCTATATAGTGGTGGGCTTATAAGTATCAAGAGTTCCTTGTGTGTTCCAGATTAATGAAAAATTACATTTGCAACAGTATGGTAAGCAATGAAGTACACACATGATGCAATGTACCGTAGGCAAACAAAATCTAATGCTTGTACGTGCTTGTGTTAACTATTGCAACAATAACTCTCGTGTATTATTTGTAGGTGGTGATGCAATGAATAAATATAGTTTACATCAAATAGAAACATCTGCGCTAGGTAAAGCCTTCAACGGCAATATATCCTAGCTACTCTGTTATACTCCCTTGGTCTCAATAATATAAGAGTGTATTTTACACTATACAAGTGTAAAAAAAACGCTCTTATATTATGGGACAGAGGGAGTACTTTTCATGATGAGCTATCTCGACCTTGCTTTTTCATTACAGCAAATGCTTCCCTGTTAGTACTTCATATCTATTTCACTACCAAACATGTGTTGTTCCACCAGAAATAAGCATAGTTGTCAAGCAATTGCAACATAACCTGTTTGAATCGACTGCCCTTTTAACTTTCTTTAACCTCTTTCCAAACTGTCTCAGATATTTATCCTGGAACCACGCCTGAATCTCAGGATAAAGAAATTCTGGATCCATGCATCTCTTAATGCCGCCTGGTTGTCTATTAATTTTTGTCAATCTCCAACTCTTCTTTGGCTGGGACAAACAGATGGTGACGGAGCCAGGAACATTTGAACCATCACCATCCTTGGGCATGGCAAGACATCCCCTTTAAGCAAAGCCCACGCAAATACCTGCAAGTCTGCAACCGACTGGATGACGGGTGCACTACAATCTGCAGTGGAGGCTCCTGATTATGTCGAGAAAAGATGGGACTAACGTGCTGGTCATGCTGGGGTTTTGGATCCTCCAGCGGTGCTGACAACACGCATATTTCAAAACCCAGCCTGGCTTGACACTGGTCAGACCATACATGTGTGGTCTCTCTGTATTTACTACTCCGTCTGTAAACTAATATAAGAGCGTTTAGATTACTAAAGTAGTGATCTAAACGCATCTTATATTAGTTTACAGAGGGAGTATTTACGGAGTAATACAGAGTAACCTACAAACTCTGGTGGAATTGGGGCCACAGAAGATGATTGGTTTAGATATGTTATAACATTGAGAGAGCGCACAAGATTGATAATGTGCAGCTCGAGCCTTTCGATCATCTTTTGACAATCCAGAACAAGTGTCGATCTTCTTTTCAACCCTGTCAGCCCACCCAGCACATATTCCTTGCCCCAGAAGTTCCTCTTCATAGGTTTCATCCTCCAGGCCTGTTCAACATCCTTAGAAACTCCGAAATACCAAGCAAATCTATCACAGAATTTGCTATGGTGAAATATTAATCGAACAAGTTGCTTTATCAACGTCGACATCTCTTCCATTGTTTTTATAGGCGGCGAGGACAGAGCCTCGTCTCGGGTGATGCGCCTTTTATAGGCGGTGGTGCGCTTTGCGCAATTTTTTCGAGCCTGTGTTTCGATTCGATTCTATATACTCCCAATTGCGTTTTCTTCTTTGCAGATTTGCTGCACGCAATTATTTTTACGGTAAAATTACATATTTACTCCGTCAAGATTCAACTGAAACGATAAGATTTACTAGCTTTTTACTGTGGGCGAAAGCATGGGACGGTGTGGGCCCGTAGGCGTCAGAACCTCACAGAGGTGGCGTGCTGACCTTCTTCTTCTTGGCCAAGAAAAGAAACGAGGGAGGAGGGACGGAGGGAACAGAACAGGAGGGGAGGGGGGTTAATTAATCACAGTATAATAATTAAGAAAAAACCAGCAGAGTGCCTTGCTGCTTACGCAGGCGTGGGGGAGGTGTGCGCGCGCGGCGTGGCGTGCAGCAAGTCATGCCCACGCGACGGACGTCCCTCCATTTTTTTTTTTGGAACTGGAAATATATACTCTTGTAAGCAGAATGGGATTTCGGCTGCTTTTATTAGGCTCCCGATGATGGATTCAAAATATCCTGAAAACCACACCATCTCTTTTTTTTTATGTATGGATAATAAATGCATCGGTTTATATTAAAAATTTCCAACGATACAAAACAAAGAAATTGCAATAGGGTCATCGGACAACCAAACAAACTCAGTCTTCAGGACGGGTCGCTACCGCTCCATCATCGGAGCCAGTCTAACACCAATTCAGGTGGTTCGAAAGTCGTCATGCTAAGGTCCAGCTAGACCAATGCCACGGAGAAAAAGCCTCTATCGTAGATGACTTGTATAGATCAAAGATCGCATACCCGAACCATCTCCTGGTCAAAACTTTTATCATGTTTGTAATGGCAACACAAGAAACACTGATGTAACTTAGAGAGAGCATTAACCACCTTAGAGTGATCTGTGGTGGCACGGAGTCTCCCACATAGGAAAAAAGGTCGCAACCTTTGCCCCCGGAAAAAAATGTCCGGGGGAACCCACCCTAACCCCCAAGGTCAGCGCTCACCGTCGACGCCATTGGCAGTCCACAACAGCACCACCGTATGGAGCATGCCAAAGAACCTTGAGACCAAGCCCAAGACACATGCCCAGATTTGAAGGGCCTCAGACAACGTACACACCACCTCCTAGATTCAACACGGTAGCCGAAAATATCACTACTTTGATAGGAGATCCGAAGAATACTTATTCGTTGCCGTCATCATCACCGTCGAAGCCGAAACCATGGGCAACCAATTACCTAATTAAGACACCCAGACTATTTAATGCACTTGGAAATAAGCTCATAGGGTTTCCCTTCCTCGTGTTGTCGACAAAGCATCCAACGAAGGTCGGAAAGCCCTAGCGATGATGGAATCAATGTGCCTACTTGCTCGTCTCATTGGCTCCTATGGCAGGCGGCTAGGGTTTCACATGAAGTTCCCTTTGACGGTCCAACCACAATATCTCGAAACTACCGAGTTATATCCTTGTAGATACGAACAGTTTGACAAAATGGTACATTGTTTTTGCATAGTAATTTTTTTCTCAAAAAGGAAGATCACCCCCACCTATGCATCGAGCAATGCATAGAATTTATTTTTTGGATGTAGAAAATAAATATATTCTCGTAAACGATCCATCGAATAATAAAATTACGAAAACGCCAACCACCTGACTAAGATTTGTTAGGCACGACAAATCTTACATTTTCTATGGTAATTTATATTGGTGAGATGACGACAAATTTGGCTTGGAAGCACGGAATTTTTTTTGACCAAATGATAAACTGACACAGATTCGCCGTGCTCGACAACTAAATTTGTCATCCTCGGGAAACGTATTTTGCCATGAAAAACATCAGATTTGCCACGCCTGAAAAATTGACATTTTCCTGAATATTCGGGTCTAAATAATAGATTAATTGTTCGTAGAATGGACGAGAATTGTTAATTTGGAAATGGAGCAGGAAGGGTGCGTAGGTGAGGTCCCCGCACCGCAGATTCTCTCTGCCGTGCCGTATCCCTTTGCCGATGGAAAGTGGGGGTCCGCCAGTCCGTAGCTCGGGTTCTTCCACGGCCAGCCACGCTGCAGCAGCATCAACCAACCACGGGCGACGTGCCTCGTGGCGTAGCCAACTGCTCCAGCACGACAGCATGTATGGAACCACCGGGCACCAGTCACCAGAGCATGCCTAGGCCTAGCCTTCCCCATCTTCTGTTCCGTTGCGACGGCAA